AGAGGGAGGGATGGAGGGAGGGAGGGAAATGTCCATCCCTGAGGCTCTGGTGAACATAACACTCTCAATTACATCTTATATTATCCTGTGGAAGGGCTAAGGTGACTCCCTGTGTCCTGCTCTGAGAAAGGTCCAAAATACATTTTGAGTTTAAAAAAAAAGCAAGGTACATGATAGTCTGTAATATACTAACTTTGCTCTCTATAAGCAGAACAGTAAAAAGATATATTCTCCTTTGCTGTTTGTTTATACTCTGGGAAGACACACAGGAAAGTAATAAAAGTTGGAGTACAAGGGTTCGAATGGGATTTTCTAATGTATACTTTCTTCTTTTAATTTTTAAAGACTTCTTTCTGTAAATCATTTGAAATTTAAATCAAAATTTTAACACTACCAAAGCAACTCATTGTATCCTAGTTGTATTCTCTAATAGTGGAGTGCAGCTTCCATCTGCCCTCAAATGTTCCAGACCCAGGGGAACACATTTTTCTCTTTAGTCTGTGCTCTTTGACGTCTGCTTCCCCTTATTCTGGTTCTTATTTATTTCACACCTTCTGTGTGTTACTCGTAGTGACTAGGGAGCACTCACGGATGAAGAGTCTGTGAAAGACTGAAACTGAAATTGCATTATAATTTTTTGGCGGGTCTACGTCTTGCCAACCATTACATATAATCTCTGTGTTCTATCTTGTAAACAATATTTACATTCTTCTCAAGGCTGTCTTGAGATTTGAGGAGAAACAATAGCAGTGACAACCTCTTCTTTCCCATAACAAAACCTTTAATACAGACTCCGTTAGATTATAAACTTAATTTTCCTTCTATAAATACCAATTTTAAGTTTACTTGAACATTGATGCCTCGATAAAAGTCCGAGTTGGAACAGAGTGACCTCTCTCACCTGTGTCTACTGGAACAAAGTTTTAAGGTTCTAGAATGTTCTGAGGTTAAACACCAGCTTGTCAGTCTTCTTGCATCGTGTTCCTGGTTCATTTATCCTCGGCAATAGCACCCGTGTCCAGTGCGGCATTCAGAGCGGGGAGTCCCAACACCGTTTCACAGCTCTGGAAATGGCATGAGGGCAAATTACCATTGGGTTTAGAGCCATCAGCCATCTCAGTGATTTTGTTATAGAGCAAATCAATGTAGTAAGTGGATGTTGAGGAACATCTCATTTTAGTGTTTTAGTGAAACATAAAGACTCACAATCAGTGTGGGGGGTGTTACAGAGAACTTGAGCAGCAAGTGCTACAGTATCGTTGTCAAGTGCATGCATTCCACAGCCAAATGAAAGCATTAAACAGCTATTAGCAATTCTTATTATGCCTATTTAAAGTGAGCTTATTTCCTTTATTCTAGTTTGCTCTCTTATTTATTAGGCTTAATTATTGTTTAGGTCACTGTTTCAGTGTTTTGAAATAACGTCGTAAAGAGACCACTAACTCAGCAGAATAATGCTAAACCCTAATGTTCTGTTGTTTTCTTTAGTTCAGGGTAAGGTGGGAGTATAAGAATGTTTGTGTGTATTTTCTTCACACACACACACACACACATATATTTATATAGACATTTTAGTAGATCCGTTTACAAAAAACACACTAAACATTTCTAGTGTTAACAGGCAACTGTTTGAAGGGATTAGGAACACACTACACTTTAAGGAGATACAATGCGCTGTGCTATTCCTTTCAGGGCCCAACTCAAGTCCCAATTCTTAGTTACATGAAAGACTTAAAAGTAGACGAAATGACTGATGTTAATCTCTGTAATGACCTGTAAATGTTTTAAAAGTTATCTGGCTAAATTTGAACTCTAAAGTTCTAAGTCTAAGCTGAAGAACAGTTATTTCTTTTCCAGAGAAGAGTTGGAAAGAAAAAGGTAACTTTGAAGGTTGACCTTGTTAATGAACATTCTAATATGAAAGGCTCCGCACCTTAGTCCAATGAATACTGATGTCTTGACATATGTTTACCTCGCAAGTACATAAATTCAAGGACATGAATTTCACAGAGTACTTGCTATACTCAGAGAAGCTAAAAATTAATACTAATTAAATAGAAATTAGCACAGAGGTTAAAAGTACAGTTCTTTAAAGTTTGAGGTAAAAATAATTTTAAATTTGAACAGGTTATGATACTTATGCACTTCTTAAGCACTGAGAAGTCAACAGACTCTGTCTTTTAAATACAGAAATAAAGCACAGTTCTTGGGCCTTAGTTCTTGACACGAGGTTAGTTCATAACCCTTTATCAAGAAATTATTGATAAGCAGGTAGCATTCAAGTGTCTAAAATTCTAATTCCTATAGAAAATTATTTTCCAAAGGAAAAAAGTGTCACAAATTTCTAAATCATCAAAATGAGATTTTCATTCTTATTCAGAAAAGGGGGAGCCAAATATCTCAGAAGGGTGAGCATGTTAGAAGTATATAACTTTGCTAACACAAAACAGTAACATATTTCCTATGAACTTTGTTGTGCAGTTTTCATTTCTAACTTTAACAAAATTCCAGTTAAGTTTGTTAAGATGATGAAACTCTTAGCAGCCTAGGCCAGTTCCCCAGAGGCCTCCATCACAGCACTGATGCTGGTTTTTAGTTATGTGAGAATAAACATGCATCTTGACCACACACTCCAGAAAAAAGTCAGAACACAAAGAGGAAGTGGACTTGGATTTTTAATTTTTTTAGATTAACTCTCTCTATATATATTAATAAAAAGTGCAAAGAACATGTTTAAATTATATTCTAAAATAAAATATATATTTCCATCAACTGCAGGAGACAACTGGCAAGAGCCTGAGAGAACCCAGTCCCTCTCCTTCGTGACAATGGGCATATATTTTGAGGAAGCACCTATGGAAAATAGTGTTCACAACACTTTTGGTAACAGATAGCTTCTGGGTGTTTTTGAAAGCAGTTAGTCTGTATTTTCAATCTAACAAGAAATAAAGGGAAAAACCAGACACACAAAAAGAAGTGACGCCACTGCAAACGGTGCCCCTGCTCTGCTGTCCAGGCCAGCGCCCCGTCTAAGGGGCCGCTCCTCCTGCATGAGGTCTCTGCTCCCGACACTGCTGATGTAGCAACACAGCTGAAACCTTGAACTTTAATTTTGCTACGTGAACAAAAATTTAAAACCCAAGCATAGTAACATTAGGCTCTGTTACACATAGCTCATGTTTTGGGCTGATTTTCATCAAAAGGTTTTAAAGAAACAAGAGGTTATATAATATCTGCTGCTTTCTTATGTATTTATGGCAATGGTGGCTATCAGTTGCAGAAACAATAGAAACTTCTAATAATAAAAAAGACATACGACTCTGAACTTTTTTTCTTTAAAACATTCTGGGATATTTCAACAATTCAAATTAGAAACTTGATTTCTATTGTGGCTTCAGCAGCTACATGCCCACATGTGGAAAGGATCCCTTGGTTTTGATTTAGATATCTTTTATTACTCCTTTCCTTTTTCATAACTGAAAAGATTTTCTGTTTTAGAAAAGATATGTTTTATACACTGTGCTATAGCAACAAATCTGTAATACTGGCTATAACAGCATTTCGACTCATAAATGTCAATAATATGCTCTTACTGAACCTAGATGACATCAGTATTAAAATACAGATAAACAACAGCAATCAACTATGCATAACTTATAGACTCAAAGGTTCATGGTGTCTTCTCTCCTTTTTGGCCTGTTATAAAAATAATTTTGGTTCTAAGTGTCTACACAGCACCAATTTTATTTTGAAAGAAGCATCTTTACTCAGTCACCCAAATAAATCTACAAGTACACATGCTGAAATCGCTTTTCTCACTTACTTCTGTAATTCTAAAAGACTGGTAATTGTATTAGATTTTGTCTCAATCAAAAATTATTCAGCTATTATTAAAACCATCAATTACAATGCCCTAAAAATACCCACGTCCACAGAGTTAAATGAGAAGTTCCCCTGGCATGCAAGTATATAATAAAAGAATTATACCTGCAGTTGATGGACACTGTTCTGTAATAACAGAAGGAACAGGTCTCTAACAGTAAAAAAGCATTTCATAAAACTTTGTCATATATAAAATATCTTATTAATTGTGACCATTCCACTTATGATTAAAGTATAACATAAGTGTTTCCTCTGCCTTCTGCTGTGGGACAGTCAGGGGTCACACAACCTCAAAGAATAAGGGTGCATCTGCTTCCCAGGCTGATAAAAGCAAAGGGCTCAGTGATACTGTTTCTCCTTCAAACTCGTCTGCACTCACGCACACATACACAAAGCAGCCAGTTTTAATTTTCATGACACTGGGGCCACACTTTTTTCCTATTTCCAAAAATATGTCAGGAAATTGTGATTGCAAAATAATTATTCTTGTCTATACCCAACCTGGATCACCACAGCTCATTTTTAAGATTGAGAAAGAATACGTCTGCAGCAGCAGAAACCAGGCCTCACTCATCATCTTGAACCCTTTGGTTTTCACCTTCAATATCACGGTGAATGTAGACTTGGCTCAGTAGGCCTGGGTCAAAGGCTTTACAAATACTGAACCTGAAGTGCATTAATAAATACCTGCTATTATGGCATAGGAAAGTTTAAAAAGTAACAATAAACACAATGCCATATAAATGAATTTACAAGCCACGTAAAAATTTCATAAGGAATTTGCCAGGACGGTGGAATCATGTAAAAAGGTCTGAAGGTCAAAACCATCATAATGATTACATTCTTTGAAAAATACTTCAGGTGTACCCCTCCTGCCCCAGCTGTGCCAAGTGCTTCTCAAGTCTCCATCTGGACACATGGTGGGCTAAGAAAAACATGTTACAGGAAGAGACTGCACTGATTGACAAAGGAACAGAAGAAATAAAATGGCTTCAGAGTAGGTAAGGAACTAGCTTTCAGAGAAAAGTTCTTTAAATTGCTTCTGCAAAAAATATGACTTGGAGGCAATTCTGAAGTTTTGACACTTATACTTTACTCATAAATTAGTCAGAGTTGTCCTGTAGGGGCAACTAAATGAAACTGTAAAACAAAACGAATTGTTCAATTATGACACCACAAAATCCCAGGGAAGAATTGGGAATCAAAGCTCCCTTTGACCATAGTTCCCTCTTTTAATGCACAGTGCAGGAGCAAGGCCTTCAGGGGGTGACCCAGGCAGGTGCGTCACAGGAGCCTCTTCTCTCGTATGCTCCCCACTCTGCTCCCTCGCTCACACTGCGGTTCATTAGCTCATGCTCAGCTCTCCTGGCACGTATATGCATTACTCTATTGGATTCTTCAAAAAGTCAGGCCTCTATTCCCAACAGTTGAAAGTAATGAAAAAGAAAGAAAGATGTGAGGAAATACATCCATAAGCAAAAATAACCCTCTGGAATCTGACATATTTCATGTTACAAAAGCAATGGTTGATACAATACGTGAAGAACAGTAAAACTGGGGTAGTTAGATACAAAGAGATCACACTGCTCTGCCAGGCTTTGCAGAGTAACAGCAAGTTTTCCTGGAGTTCTAACTCTCCATCTACTCTTCTTCAAGATCCTAATATAGTTATAGGTTCTAATTGAGTACCTGAGATCAGAATCAGGTTGAAAAATGCTTAAAACACTTAAAATTATTTCAAAAGGCAGAAATGAAGGAAAACATCACTCAAGTTGAGAAGTTAATTTTGGACAGAATAAAACTATTAGCAAACGTGCTGACACAAGTCACAATGAAAAACAACCAAACAAACCCCACGAAGAGTGAGAGGGAGGGCAGAGGAGGAACTGGGAGAGAGAAGTGCTGGCCAGTCCTGCAAAGATCCTTGTTTCCTGACTTTTGTACCACGAGACACCCTTCTGAGGGAGGTGCTGCGCATGCCGTCCTCACAAGTCTACCTAAACCGTGATGACAACTGAGCAGCAGGCGACCCCAGTACACACAGTAGACGGTGATTTCTNGCCGTCCTCACAAGTCTACCTAAACCGTGACGACAACTGAGCAGCAGGCGACCCCAGTACACACAGTAAGACGGTGATTTCGTCGTCATCCTCTCAGGAGGGAGGGCACATGGGCTGGAGATGTGGCCAATTCTGCTGGCAGAGCCAAAGAAATCTTGGTAAAAAATGTCCTTTCTGGGGGAAAATATACGCCACCCCCTAACCTAAACAAAGCAAAACAAAACAAAAACAATCTCCTCCCTCCTAAAGAAAACCACGGGGAAACAAATGCCCTGCAGGAATCCTTGTGTGTGTACAAGTCTGGTCTTAGAGGCTACTTTGTTTTGGATTCCACGTAGATCTTATCTCCATCCCGAATGCCAAAGGAGTGCAAGGCCCGAGAGCTGTACTTCATCTCCTCCGGGCCAAAGGGCGCTTCGTGGTCGAAGTGGTACAGAAGCATGCTGCTTGTGGGTAACTGCACTAGAGTTTTTAGTTGTTTCTTTAGTTCCGCAACTGTTTGGTCCAGACGAATGCTCATTTCTTCCACCTGGTCGTTAAAGTGGACTTCTACTTTTGCACTGCTCTGGGGTCTTAGATCCACTTCTGCCAAAGGCTCCAACTTCCCATATTTTGTGATCAGTTCATGATACCTGGAAGGAAAAGAAAGACAATGTCAGCTTAAGCTACTAGCAACTTAAGTATCAACTTTTTCACAGCTACTGGTAAATCAGACAGCTACACTCAACATCTTTCTAATAGCCTATTCCAATGTTCTATCTATGTATCTGTCAGATGACCACTGTGGAATCTATGATCTGATCTGGTTTCCCTTTTGAGGTCACAGTAAAACAACATCCTTGCGGACTGAGTTTCTCCAAAAGATGGTCACCACGCCTGCTATTAATCGTTACATAGGCTCAGAGAGGAGAGCAGAACCCAGAAGAGAAGACCCTGCAACGATTACAGAGAGGAGTCAAATTTGTAGCAGTTGCTTTCCTGGGTACTATCATAAAGAAGGGCAGAGGTCTAAGCACACGCTCTTGGTAACAGATGGGAAGATGGAAGTAGGCCAGCAGCAGGTCTTGAGCCCTGGAGAAGTCGTAACTAACAAACAAAAATGTCTAGTTGTATGTTAGCTTTTGACCCAGCTTTTTCAGCAATGCCTTGTTTGAATGATCCAATCTAGTCTCATCAGCTACAATACAAGATATTTGTGGAAGATTCAAGAATAAATTCTTGTAAAAAAGTCTAAATGTGGGATACAAGCACCTTGATCAAAGCAGTAATAAAGAGCAAAAAGACAAACACCTAGAGGAAAGTGAATTACAGAGGTGAGACTAGGACCCCCAAGATCAAGTTTCAATGTGGAAAATCTTGTTTACAATATTAGCCTTGGAGGATCTAGGTCTGATTTTATTGAGGAAGTTGAGCAGTTTCCTAAAAACCAGAGGAAAAAAATGCTGAAAAGATCTGATATTAACATTATTATAGCCAAGACACACAAAGGTAACTCATGACTAGAATACAGTGGTCACATAAGATTATTCCCCCACCTCTCCCACTGTACTTTTGGTTTTAACTCGGTTAAATCAGCGCTACAATAAGGTGGGTAGGAGCATTAAAGACATACTAAAACGTCTGCAGTCAGCGACGGAGGCAATCGTTTCCAGCGCGGGGCGAAGGGCATGTAAAGCAGCACTGGCCTTGGCGTCGGAAGGTGGACGTCAGAGTCTTGACTCTTTCTTACAATTAGCTGTGACTTGGAAACTCACTCGGTCCTTTTGGATCTCAGTTTTCTCATCAGTAAAATTGGGATAATAAATTCTGCCCTTCCTACCTTATAAGAATTATATAAAATAACAACAGGTAAATAGCACTTTGCAGATTATCACTTCATGTACAAATAAAAACTATCAACATTACATTCATGCGTCTGGAACTTACATTATTAAAACGCACACACTCCTTAGAAAATATATAATTGAAAGAAATTTAGGTAGAACTTCTTGGAAAAGGTGGTGTTGTGATGAAGAATATTACAGAATCTTCTCCTCCAAGGACTTGAGCCCAAAAGAGCACTTTTTAAATGAGTAAAGAAATCATCATCAGCAACTAACAGAAGAAGAGAGACGTCAAGCAAAGGCTGTCGTCACCAAGTCCACACCAACTGGAGTGTCCCCCTTGGGTGAAGCGCGGGGCACAGCTCCCTGTGGAAGCTCCCACGCAGGACGGCGGGCTGGAAGCGCTCAATCACACCCCGGGGGGGGCTGGAAGCGCTCAATCACACCCCGGGGGGGGCTGGAAGCGCTCAATCACACCCCGGGGGGGGCTGGAAGCGCTCAATCACACCCCGGGGGGGGCTGGAAGCGCTCAATCACACCCCGGGGGGGGCTGGAAGCGCTCAATCACACCCCGGGGGGGGCTGGAAGCGCTCAATCACACCCCGGGGGGGGCTGGAAGCGCTCAATCACACCCCGGGGGGGGCTGGAAGCGCTCAATCACACCCCGGGGGGGGCTGGAAGCGCTCAATCACACCCCGGGGGGGGCTGGAAGCGCTCAATCACACCCCGGGGGGGGCTGGAAGCGCTCAATCACACCCCGGGGGGGGCTGGAAGCGCTCAATCACACCCCGGGGGGGGCTGGAAGCGCTCAATCACACCCCGGGGGGGGCTGGAAGCGCTCAATCACACCCCGGGGGGGGCTGGAAGCGCTCAATCACACCCCGGGGGGGGCTGGAAGCGCTCAATCACACCCCGGGGGGGGCTGGAAGCGCTCAATCACACCCCGGGGGGGGCTGGAAGCGCTCAATCACACCCCGGGGGGGGCTGGAAGCGCTCAATCACACCCCGGGGGGGGCTGGAAGCGCTCAATCACACCCCGGGGGGGGCTGGAAGCGCTCAATCACACCCCGGGGGGGGCTGGAAGCGCTCAATCACACCCCGGGGGGGGCTGGAAGCGCTCAATCACACCCCGGGGGGGGCTGGAAGCGCTCAATCACACCCCGGGGGGGGCTGGAAGCGCTCAATCACACCCCGGGGGGGGCTGGAAGCGCTCAATCACACCCCGGGGGGGGCTGGAAGCGCTCAATCACACCCCGGGGGGGGCTGGAAGCGCTCAATCACACCCCGGGGGGGGCTGGAAGCGCTCAATCACACCCCGGGGGGGGCTGGAAGCGCTCAATCACACCCCGGGGGGGGCTGGAAGCGCTCAATCACACCCCGGGGGGGGCTGGAAGCGCTCAATCACACCCCGGGGGGGGCTGGAAGCGCTCAATCACACCCCGGGGGGGGCTGGAAGCGCTCAATCACACCCCGGGGGGGGCTGGAAGCGCTCAATCACACCCCGGGGGGGGCTGGAAGCGCTCAATCACACCCCGGGGGGGGCTGGAAGCGCTCAATCACACCCCGGGGGGGGCTGGAAGCGCTCAATCACACCCCGGGGGGGGCTGGAAGCGCTCAATCACACCCCGGGGGGGGCTGGAAGCGCTCAATCACACCCCGGGGGGGGCTGGAAGCGCTCAATCACACCCCGGGGGGGGCTGGAAGCGCTCAATCACACCCCGGGGGGGGCTGGAAGCGCTCAATCACACCCCGGGGGGGGCTGGAAGCGCTCAATCACACCCCGGGGGGGGCTGGAAGCGCTCAATCACACCCCGGGGGGGGCTGGAAGCGCTCAATCACACCCCGGGGGGGGCTGGAAGCGCTCAATCACACCCCGGGGGGGGCTGGAAGCGCTCAATCACACCCCGGGGGGGGCTGGAAGCGCTCAATCACACCCCGGGGGGGGCTGGAAGCGCTCAATCACACCCCGGGGGGGGCTGGAAGCGCTCAATCACACCCCGGGGGGGGCTGGAAGCGCTCAATCACACCCCGGGGGGGGCTGGAAGCGCTCAATCACACCCCGGGGGGGGCTGGAAGCGCTCAATCACACCCCGGGGGGGGCTGGAAGCGCTCAATCACACCCCGGGGGGGGCTGGAAGCGCTCAATCACACCCCGGGGGGGGCTGGAAGCGCTCAATCACACCCCGGGGGGGGCTGGAAGCGCTCAATCACACCCCGGGGGGGGCTGGAAGCGCTCAATCACACCCCGGCGGGGGGGGGCTGGAAGCGCTCAATCACACCCCCGGGGTGGGGGCTGGAAGCGCTCAACCGCGGCGCGGCGAGCGGCACCCTGCGGGAGGGCGGAGACATTGCACCCAGTGCTGAGCGCCCACTCGCACGTCCGCTTGGGCGGCGCTCCAAGGAGACACGCAGAAGCGGGCTTAGGAGGGCGCAGCATCTGTGCCCAGTCCCTGATTGGCCCATTTGTGTGCAAATAAGGACTCCAAATCTTTACATCAGTCCAAAGAACACTGTCCTGATTGGTCAGAATGTGCTGCTCTGATTGGTCAGTGAGAATGCAAATAAATATGCAGCTGCTCAGGTCCAATTGAACAAGGAAAGTCTCAGTCCTACTGGTCAATTTTCAGTCCTAGGAACTCTGGACTCAGCAACAGGCCCGCAAGGCGGCAGGCTGGGCAGCCCAGTCTCTGGCTTTTCCCTGAGATGCAGAGTGCACGAGGGACCTCTGTAAACAAGGGCTGCTAGACTCTGGTTATGAATTTGAGTCCGATTACCACAAGAGCTCCTATTTGGCAGGTATATTCTTCTCTGGTCAACAGGGGGAATAACCTTATTGCCATAATCTTTTAAAAGGAAAGAAGGATCTGAACTAGTGGTAAACGTGTGAATGCATACACTGGATGAGCTTCTTCATGCTGTTCCAATCTCTTCCAGGAATGCCTTCCTGAACAACACAGACTGGAACTGAAAACGACATTTCCCACATTTCTTTGCAGGTGAGATTTAGCTTCTATCAATCACATTCAGTAGCTCCAGGGAGAGACATAATGGATCTAGTAGGAACAATTTGGGTAGAGGCTTCCTAATTACCAGATTGCAGTTGAAGCAGGGTGTTCCTGGCAGCAGCTTGCTGATCTCCAGATCCCAGCTAATGTGGTGTGACCCAGCACCAGGACATCAGCTTCCTGAGTCTCTCCTTATACGATTCTAGCGGAGGTAGCAGTGCCCTTGGCCCACCAGTTCTTTGGTAGCATTTTAGAAGCAGACCAGTTCCAGGGAGACAGACCTTCCAAAGATTTTGTAAGCACCTTATTTTCTGTATTAAATTCCTTTCTTCTTAAAATAGCTATAGTGAGGTGATGTCAGAGGAATGGTGGCATGAGAGATTCCCATAGACGCTCCCCTTGAATTTTCAACAACTTGAACAGCTATAACTCAACAAATGATTCCCTGTTCAATGCACAAATGCAACTGAGATATCCATGCACTGAAACGTCTAAAGGTAGGCAAGTCAGAACAAACGAGGGAGGTGAGAAGAGCGGAATCTGGTGGTGGCTGGTGCTCCCTTCAGCTGGGAAGAGCGAAGAGATTCAGTGGGCATTACTGCAGCAATGAGTAGTACAAGCTGCATCTGAGCCCAAGGACATAGCACCAGGGTATGGCCATAGTTGTCAGGTGATCAGCATTCCAGAGAAACAAAGCCATGGAGCTCTACTGTCCATAGCCTCCCAGAGTGCACCTCCATTCACCCTTTGTGTTGGGCTGCAAAGCATATTATCTGCAACCCCAAGAACTGGTACTACAGAATC